GATATCTGGAAAACATGAAAGATAATAAGACATTTTAAGATCTAAAAATCCCAATGATATCTCTTTACCAGCCTTAACAGAGTAACTGCCCACATACAAGCAGTACAGGACATGCCCTCAGGAGAAATTCAGAGACTTACATTCTGATCCCACCCACTTTGGGATGCATTCATGAACTTCTACATCTACGGAAAGTTACCTTCCTTGTAGCAGTAGAATGCGTCATGCTGATGCAGATGCAAATGCTGATTTATTCTGATTAAAAAAATTAATATCTCCAAAAGTTCTTTGAAAAATATAGTGAACTTGAAAAAAATACATGCCACAGACCACTGTAATGTGAAATACAATTGTTTTTCATTCTCATTTCTGGAAATTAAATATTGAATTTCACACATAATGATGATGATTCAGGCTGTCATATGAAAATTTTTAAATGGAAAGAGACTGGAAGACTACAGTGTAATTACAAGCGATCAGAAATTAGTCAAGCCTCTCCTTAGAGTTCAGCTTCCTGGCTTGATGTGGCAGCTCCTGGGTTAATGGTTGGCACTCCCTTGGAAGGAAGTAAAGAGGAAAAGAAAAGAAGAAACTGAAAGAATAAACTGCCAGAGGGTTTCTCATTCCTTCTTTCCTCCAAGCAATAGGGAGCCACAGCAAGCTGATCGGGGCTTCACTCTACAGACGCGGAAGCTGGGGTCTCCCAGAAGCACCACCAGGACCACACAGCTAAGCGTAGACTACCCACAGCTGAAGATTAACTTCCATTTTAACAAGCCACACAGAGATTAATACTAACAACAGCAACAATTAACATTTACTGTGTCGGGAACTTGCCTCATTTCAGCCCTTTAAGTGCATAATATTATTTACCCCAATTACAAATGAGGGAAGTGGGACTCAAGGTAGTTGTCCCCTGGTCACACAGCTAATTCATGGTGGAGCCAGGAGTCAAACCCCAGCACTGTGACTTCAGAGCTTCTCCTAACTGAGCCTAATTGGCCTTTCAGTCTCCACTCCTTGCCACCCAGACAATGTATATCATCTCTCCAAAGACTAGAAATACTAAACAATTAAATAAAAAACACAACTGAACTGAAAACTATTAGGACGTTTTAAGAATACATTATATTCTCCCATTTTTCCTGTCCAACCTGGTTTGGATTAAATATGATAATGCACATAAGCCTTAGCCAAGTGCCCGGCAAAAAAAAATAGTATTTAGTCAATGATAGCTAGTAATAGTACTACTATGGCTGCTTATAATTACTATTATAGGGTTCACGTTCTTCCATAAATTCAGGGCTAACCAATTAGCAAAAACTCTCTGGTAAGTATCTCAATTTCTTCATGCTCATTCTATGATGTCCAGTCTTCCCTCCTTTGAAGGTCAATATTTTGACATAGTTTATTTGGTGTCTGTTTCTGCAATTCACATAATTGCTCAGTTAAAAAAAAAAAGTTAATTCCTTTTTCCCCCAAGACTATCAACACAGCATTTGTTCTGTTTAATGCCACTTTGGATTACTAAGAGACATAAAAATCCCCAAACATAAACATCATTAAACAAAAACCTATTCAAGTGGAATACAAAACACACTGAAGAGTCATCATTAATTTCTTAAAGTTTTTCTTTGGTTGTTTTTTGTTTGTTTGTTTTCGCTTTTTAAACAACTCCACCCAAAACTCAAAGCGCAGACACTCAAGTACTCAAGATGAAAACAATCAAGCCTTCCCCAACATGAGCTACAAAAGCAGACGCCTTGGGCATCAGCGTGCTGGGTTTACATGGATCATGTACTTGCTGGTTTAAAAGCTGAATCATCTAGCCTGTTTTAACTTTGTTTACATTGCTTCCTAAAATACTGTGTTTGAGGGTTAGAAGTACAATTCAACCTTGTGAACAGCACAGATCTGAAAGGATGGAAGGACTTATATGTAGTTTGAAAAGTGCATATGTGTGTGTGTGTGTGTGTGTGTGTGTGTGTGTGTGTGTGTGTATCCTTGGGCATGTGGCACAAATTTCAATCAACATGGCTTTGCAGTCTTAGTGGACATTGCTCACGATGCCCCAGGATTGCCTGCTTATTTCGACTGTCTCCAGCCTCAAAGTCTGGCTTTCAGCACAGAATCTAGGTCTGGAGAGATGGGAAAGTCAGAGAGGACAATGAAAGGCCCGATCTGTTTAAATGAACCAGAACATGGTAATGTCCTATGGGTATGAAACTTATAAAGAAATAAAAGGCAGTACAGTGAAAAGGAAAGAACACAGATGGTCAAACCAACTTAAGTCTGCATCCTGGCTCCCCCTTAAGTAGCTGTGCAACCTTGGGCAAGTTATTTAAACTTTCTGGGCCTAAATTCCCCATAATATCTACCTCGAGGTGCTGCTTCTGGGATTAAATGAGATAACTTCTATGAAAGGTCCTGGGATAAATCCCTTATTTAAAACCAAAGTCCCAGTTGGTGAGCCCAGGGACTAAACTTTGACCTTAATACATATTTCGTTCTGTCCCTGCAAGGAAAGCCTGCTAGAGATACTCTGTTTT